TTCATAGAGTTTCCAGAGGCAGGTTGTATAGGAAGTGGATGTCACTCCAGTTTATAAACACACACACACACACACACACACACACACACACACACACACACTTTCCAGTACTGCCACAAAGTCCAATAACTGTAAGGGTTTTGTGAGTTTGTTGGTTGAAATCCCCTGGAGTTCAGCTATAAGTTGTTACCTGAGGTACAGAAAAACAACTAAGGACAAGAGGAAGCACTGGTGACTTAGTAGGTAAGGAGTTGTACTGCCAACCCAAATGCAGGAGTTTTGAATCTACGAGCTGCTCTGCAGAAGAAATATGGACAATCTCCTTCCATGCAATTTGCAGCCTCTAAAAACCTCACTAGAGGGTCAGCTATGAGCTGATTCTGATTCTACAGCTCATAAGGCAGGGCTGGAGGCCTAGTGGCAAGAAGTAGATCTCCAATCCCGAAGGCATGAGGTTTGAATTAGAAGCTGCTCCCTGGGAGGATGGACAATCTCCTCCCACATGATTAACGGCCTCTGAAAACCTGCTGGAGGGTCAGCTATGGGTTGATTCCAATTTGAAGGCACACAACAACAACTCGTATCCATAAGTAAGGTCAAGGAGAAAGATATGTTGCAAACTCTTTTTTCACTCTGAGTCACTGTAAGTTATTTCTTCTCACCAACAGCCACTTAACTAAAGCCATCTTGGAATCTGCGTCACTGTTTTTTTGTTGCAGTTTACTGCCCTCAGTTCTGCAGAGGCCTGCCTACTACTATTCTAGTCCTGTTCCATGCAAAGAGCATCTTTTCTCAGTAGTAAACACAAGATAACTGGGAAGTCCCAAAGGCCTACCAGCACAGCAGCCTAATCAAAGTAGTCACCCAACCAAAGCTACTCTTTATTGCATTTGGTTTTCTTTCCAGCTGTTTAGAAAATAAGATTTTAGCCATACTAATATAATCAGTTTAAAAGCATCAACTTAAAGTTCTAATTCTATTTTTGGCTTTACTTTTGGGAAGCAGGCCTTTATCTTTTTGCTGGCTTTGCTGATAGTTCACAGATGAATGAAGAATATTTTCTTTAAAAATAAAAACTCTAAGCACTAATAAGGAGCAAGATACTGTCCTAAGTGCTTTAACAAATAGGAATTCAGTCATCCAAAACAACCTCAATAGAAAGATATCATCATCCTCATTTCATGCCTTTGAAGGGTTTCAAGCGAGGTTGAGTAAATTTCCCAAGGTCACAAACCAATAAATGGCATCGCCAAGCTCCAGATTTCCCAAGGTCACAAAGCCAATAAATGGTACTGCCAGGCTCCAGATCTAAACAGCATGGCCATAATCAGTACACTAACTGCCACACAAGAACACTCTGGGAGAGCCCAGACCCTCCAGGGGAGCAAACTCAAAGGGTCTGATTGATAGCTTGCACTACAGAAATAAATACCTCCAAATTATTTCTACGGATTTGAAGCCCTAGCAAAGGGTGGAGGTACACAAAAAAAACCTCAGCAAGAGATTGTATTGCAAGGCAATCTTGATGCTCATCATTTCTGTAGTAGGAATATATTTTTCCCATTGATGGACTCTCTTCTCCAGTTATGCTGAAGCAATTATCCTAAATTGGCTGGAAGGAAATAGGCAGTTAAGTTGTTAATGCTCCATGCTAAAACATCCCTGAGAATTTAACAGTGAAACTCAAACCAACAATTTCTTCTTTTATGCCAAATTAGCATATTTAGCATTACAAGTGAAAATGACTTTTCAGTGCAAACAAACCTTGAAAGACTGAATGTAGGTATTGGACCAGAGTCAAGTTATTTGAGATCTCAGCCATAGAAAGAAAGTATAAAAAGGAAATTGTCATGGGAATTCTTCAAGGTGTTGTTTTGAGGATTAAATTACTCATGTAGAGTATATTGTGTAATCTGACATTAGCAAATGCACAAGAAATAACAGCTATGAACATTGGTGTTATAAATATTATTAAATAACTAACTCACTGAGGGTACCTTATAGTTGATTCTCCTGTGGATCCCAGGTTGCAAATTACACATAAGATTATCCTGCAGACTTCCAAAAATCTTAAATGCTATATTGCATGATTTGTGTATTATATATAAAAAGTCTTATGATATGTTGTTGTTGTTGTTGTTATGTGCCATCGAGTCATTTGCGACTCATAGCGACCCTATGCACAACAGCCCTAAACCCTGCTCTATCCTGCACCAACCACAATGCCTCTGACACACCCATCCCGATTACCCCAGTCACTGAATCAATCCATCTCATAGAGGGTCTTCCCCTCCTGCGCCGTACCTCCACCCTCCCAAGCATGATGTCCCTCTCCAAGGACCTCCTGGCAACATGTCCAAAGTATGTCAGATGAAGCCCCAGAATCCTTGCCTCCAAGGAGTAGCTTGGTTTAATCCTCTCCAAGATGAATCTGTTTGTTTTCCTGACAGTCCACGGTACATTCAGTACTGTTAAAATAACAATTGGGTATTTATCTAGATTCTCAACAATTAAAATCTTCAGGAAAGCGCATCCATGTTCAGAAGTTAAAGGACATGCACATTAGTAGTTGTGTCATCAGCAGGAAGTAAATGGAATTCTGAGTTAGGAAAAAGATGAAAAACACAACATAGACGCACCCATCCAGGGAGGAGAAAAGACAAGATGGAAAAAAAGAGCCAACTATGAAACAGTTGTTACAGATTTAAAGGAGATTTTTTGCCCTTATTAGGATTAGTAAATTTAAAGTTAATTTCTGATTATAACATATGAATTAAAAGGTCAATGAAATAGAAGAAATCTTAGAAAATAAGAACTATAAATAAAATTATAATTGCAAACACAGACTTTTCTGCTCACTATTTTTTTTACTCTTTGTTATTGGTCTGTATACGATCATTCATATACACTGTATTTTATACCTGTCACTCCTATACATTGTTTCATTCATTGACATTTTGTTTTATAAAATCATTCATATATGTTGTGTTTTAATAGAGTGATGTTAGTTTAGTGCTAATAAGCTGCACAGCAATCCCAAAAGAACCTGACTCAAATCCATCAGCTGATCCATGAAGAAGGATGGACACTCTTCTTTTGTGCTTCTGATACTGTTAAATGGTCAGCTATAGATTGAGTATAACTCATGAATGTTACACAATAACAAAACCAGCAACAAACCCATGCCTTTACCATCCCATCAGCTGAGTCATAGAAAAAGGATGGACACTTTCCTTCTGTGCTAGTTATTCCTTTAAAAACTTATTGGAGGGTCAGCTATGAGCTGGTTCCAACTCAACAGTATGTAGCAATTATCCTAGGAAAAGGCTCTCATATAGTATTGAGTGCATGTGGTTACAGAGGACATCTTTATCTTGTTTCTTATCTTGGCAAAAAAGCAGTTAGCCTCTGTTCATAATGTTAATGGTGGGTGTTCTGTATTTTGTTTTATGTTGTTGTTATGTTCCATCGAGTCACCTGTGACTCATAGCAACTCTATATCAATAGCTCTGAACCCTGTCTTGTCCTGAGCCAGTCTCAATAATTGTCACACACCAATCTCAATTGCTTGCCTCCAATGCACACCTTTGCTGCACTTTTCCCAACCCAGAATTGTTATTATGGTAGTCCATGATATATTCAATACTGTCTACTAGCTTACAATTCAAACATATTCATTATAAATCCAAGTACAAGGAAATCATTAACTACAATCTTAATATATCATGATGTTGTCTATTGGTCTAGTTAGATTTTTGTTTTCCTTCTTGATTTGGAACCATGCATCATCAGTTCCATTCAAGAGACTGCTTCTTGGTTCATTTCTAGTTTCTACATGAGCACAGGTAAGGGATAATTCTGGAATTATAATTCTTCTCAAAATTATCCACAATTTACTATGATACATACAACTGAATGTGTTTGCATAATCAATGTGGTATTAGGACTTTTGAAAACGGCTTTTCTATCCAATGCCTTAGTCCTTCCTGGGGACATGGAATCCAACTGTATCAACTGTGGACACATGGTTCACCAGTGATGAGTATCTTTAGCATCATCAGCAGCTGTGGAGCCAACACAAGAGAAAGAGCTAACCAGACTGATGTGAAGCCGTGGCAAGACCTCAAACCTGATGGCTGTCAACCAGACAGAGCCAGGACCAGAGCTTTTAAGGCAGAAACTTCAATACCAGAAAAGAAAAAAAGCAGCAGAGAAATCAGCGCATCTCTTATAGGGTCAGAGGTACTATGCCATGTGTGTCTTCCTGTTAATTATAAAGCTGCCTGGATAAATTGAGGGATTATATTTTGCTATTGACTGAGAAGGTTTCTGAACTGATTGAGGAATTGTGGCATTTCTGCTAAGCTGGATTGGGATTGCTATTTACTGAATCAGGATTTCACTGTGTTATATCCTTTGTTCCTCCAAAGCCCAAAACTATTTTCCTAACAAACTTCACAACTGTGAATAAACAACAATTCTGCAAAATCTGTGTGGTCATTTGCAAAAGCTTTCAGACCCAGTGATTAGTAGAAGTAAGAGCAGAAGAGTGAGGGGCCATGTCTGACCTCACAGGCATCAATTTTATACCGTGGATGTTGCTGATAGGGACAGTTCTCCTTTGTGAACAGAATTCAGACTTCGCCTTCCCCATGTTGTCTTTGCTCATTTTACAATCAATACAAAACTAAGAAAATTTTTCTGGTATTTATTGCTTTTACCTAAGATCCATCTGACTTCAGCAATGATTTTCCTATTACATGGCCTCTTTTGAACTTAAAATGTTCGTAAAATTATGCTAACTCATCATTGTCGGCAAGGTATTGGTAAATATGCTGATGTGCAGCTTGAATATTTTAACTCATTTAGTTGAGAGAAAGACTCAGTATCGACTGTCATGGCTGATTACTGTAAAGAACAACATATGAAGATAATCACTTTTTCAATCAGCAAGCTCTAGCACTAATTTCACTTCATCATTCTGTAATGAGGGTACTTACAGTTTGCTGGAGAGTGTTGGAAGATCATGAATGATCTCTTCATATGGCTCCTCCTGTGTTAAGGCAGAAGCAGATAAAGGCTCTTTCATTCTCTCTTCCCAGGCAATTTCAGCTTTCAAGAGCATTTCCTCAATAGACTCAGACGCTGCAATATCTGCAAGAAACAATAGGAAACCAGAAGAATTGGGTGGCGATCTAATAGAATACTACATATTTTTATTAATTCCACTGTGCTTAAAATGCTAAAACTAACAAAGGCATGAAGGAAAGCAAGAAGAAAATCATTAAAAGTTTATTGTGGGTAATCCCAATCTTTCATATATATCCAGAAGAAAAAAAAATTTTAAAAATTTAAAAGTAGGAACAGAAACTATTTACTATTGTTCATTGTAGTACTTTTCTATCTTAGCTAAAATATAGAAACTCTCATGTCCATCAATAAATGAATAAATAAACAAAAGAAAAGTTTATTGTGGGAATAAAATGGCATTACTCCCATCATAAAAAAATGTCTTGTTTTGCATTAGTGACACATTTAATTATAAATAAAAATATAAAAATACCCTAATAGTTGCTGGATTGTAATAAATACAATGAAAAATAATCAAGATGCTAAACTCAAAAGAACTTAATGTCATTTAATTCTCCATAACACTCTTCTTGCTATCTTAGAAAACATGGTTCAAAATAATGGAAACAGTTATATCTACCCAAAACACTAGTTAATATAAAACATGCAGTAGGCATTCTATAGGTATGCTAGTAAAGGAGTTGCTGTTACATGCCATCAAGTTGCTTGTGACTCATAGCGACCCTATGTACAACAGCCCTAAACCCAGCTCTATCCTGTGCCAATCGCACTGCCTCCTACACACCCATCCCAATTACCCCAATCATTGAATCAATCCACCTCATAGAGGTTCTCTCCTTCCTGCACTGTCTATCCACCCTCCCAAACATGATGTCCCTCTCCAAGGACTAGTAGTTGAGTAAATATTTTCTGTTGTGCAGCTTTGACCTACCTTGATGATATTTTTGTGTAACTAGAAATATTAGACGATGACTCTTACAGGTAAGTACAAATATTGACAATAATTGCAGGTAAAGAGCAATTGCCAATAACTTACATACTAAACTTAAATACCAGCATCTGAACATTTTTCAGAAGCAAATAGAAGTATTAATTTAAGGTAACATTTACTAACAAGTGAAACTGAAAAATTCTAGATCCTGAAGAAAAATTCACTTAAAAACCAGTTAAAAATGTAGTGAATGCAGCAGATCTCAATTATGGCAGGAATTTAAACATTACTTGCCATAGGTAAAAATAAGGCAGAGACAGTCCACCATCTTTACATTGGTACTTTATATTTCTATCTCAACTAACAGCTAAACCTCAGACTGCTTCTTCCTCATATTTTCTTAAACTATGTCTATTCTTATTTTTTTAACACATATTTATAATATCACAAGAGTCCAAAATTAAGGTTGCATAGTGGAATATACTTGTGGTGGCGGGAGGGGTGCGGGGGTATTGTGTACCAGGGAGGGAGTGTTTCTTTTACTTTTGAAAGAAATGAGCGAACTGGTGGGGAGGGGGAGAGGGCTGGGCGGGGAGAGAAGTGCAGCAATGAATGAATGGAAATCCAAAATCTCTCTAAATGCTCATTAAAATTATTAAAAAAAATATTGATAAAATGTTGCTCATTATTTTTATTTGTCCCTCCACTACACAATTCACTGTTCTTCTGTGTATTATGACATTCTCTACTTAATTCTTAGTTATCTATCATTTGGTTAATTATCAATAAACCAAATTTGTCAATTCAATTCCACCTCACAGAAATGCTACAGAACAAAGTAGACTTCCCTATTGTTGGGGAAGATTTCCAATGATGTAATCTTTACCAACAGACTATCACGTCTTTCTCCTGTGAAGTAACTGGTTGGTTCCAATGCAGTAATTTCAGTTAAAAGCTAAGCCACAGGCCATTTTGCCATCAATTAGATGTTTATATTTTATTCCTTTATTTGAAACCTCTTACCACATCGTAACTCTTTGTATCCTGTGTGTGACAGAGCATATTTTTATGTAATTAAAAATATTGATTGAGAATGGTTCTAGCATTTTTTCTCTTACTGAGTATCTGGCATGATAAAGACAGGGAATTGTTGACAGATTTAGCATGACTCAAATGGACAAAATTGTCTAAGAAAGTCATTATACTGAGGTCACTAAAGCTAGAGTAAGACCAGAGAATTCTGAGACCAGAGCTAAAACTAGATATGCAGAGTTCACAGAGAGTCTATAACTTATCATTACATTAAGTATCAGTACTGAGGACAGTTGTACTAGAACCAATGTGTGAAGTGTGAAAGATGGTCATCCTTTTGATCAAAAGTCAAGAAAGTAATCAGGGCTATGTACTTGAAAACAAGTGAGTTTGTTAATCAGAGTTGTCGCAATAGAGAATGCCAATACTACAATTAACAACTAATATAAAAGAGGAATCTGGAAATTTCTATTTGTCCTTTTTAGTAATTACTGTTGTGTATGCTTCCCTAGTAAGAATTAATATTACCAGACAATCAATAATATTAGTCTGAATCTAAAGTCTTGTGACTATTAAACTACTTCATGAACAGTGTGTCTTAAATCTTCAGTTTATTTCAGTGGAAAATGTAATAAACATTATTCAATGATATTTAATTATTTCAGTGGAAAAGATGAAGTAATAAACAATATTCAATGATATTTAATTTCAATAAAAAAAAAGAAGGCAAGTCTCTGAACTGACAAGAAGTTTATCAGAAGATAATTATATTCTTCATATTATATTAAGTAAGAATTATCAGGCAAAAGTTTTTTGAGGGGTTATTACAGATTTAGGAATAGATTTGTTAAATTAGATCATTTACTCCCATAATTTCTATTTTGCAATTACTTGTAATAGATGATTCTTTTGGTATTCTGATTTGAAAAAAATCTTAATATTCTTCCTGAAAGAGAAAAATATCCAAACTTGTAAAAAATAACTTTCCTGCTAAACATTGACATCTAGAGTATTACTGTGGCAGCCATAAACAAAATAATGATTTGTGTGACAAATATTGGTAACAAAAGACTTTCCCAAGTCTTCAAAATAGACATTTATTAAAAATAAACATTCAATTAATATTTAAAAAGTTATAAGTTAACTAAAAACAATCTCAGTCTCTAACTATTTCTTCCAGTCAGAATATCTCTGTTGAAAACCGTACACATGTTATTTAAAATATCTTAATGAGTAAAAGTATATTTGGTAATATAAGAAAAGAAAATAATTATTTATGATAACAAAAAAAACACACAAAATTTAAGGCAATTATTGAAGAAATTGTTGCCCTGCATACTGTTATGTAATAAACATAATGTAATGTAATGCAAAACAAAATGTAACACCATTTAAATGTAACTCATCTCAAAAAGCCTAATGTAATGGAACAGCATATATGATTTTTCTGAATTTTAACTTATCTGCCAAATTGTATTTAATATGCATCGCTTCACTGGACAGTCTGACTTTCATTTTCCAAGTGATAAAAGATATGATGTTCAAAACTATAATATAATGAGGAGGAAATATTAACTATTCAATCTTTCCGTAATGTTCATAACATACCTGAAGGCTTCTCCTCATTGCAGTTCAGAAGGTTTGGGTTTGCTTGATGCATCAAAAGAAGTTTCACCAAATTTGTCTGAAACATGAAAGATAAAAGAAACAGAAAATTCTATACAAGAAACTTATTTAATCAGTAAATAATACAACTCAAGGGACCCTGTAGGCAAGTAGAATGACAAGATATTAGCCTAACCTATTGCACTAAATCCTATAAACCTGGAGAGAGGATGAGAGACATGCAAGCGTTGACGACTCTCCTTCACAGGGTTGCTGAGTTGCCTGCGACTCCACAGCACTTAACAAAAACAACACTACCCTATTTCTAACTATCCCATTCTCAGTTCTCCTTTTTAAATGACAAATACATGTTTACCAAAAATATTTATTAAGCTATTTACTCCCTTTGAATGCATTTAAAGAAAAAGCTACTTATCAAATGAGTGACATATCTCTGAAAATTTGAAGTTTCACTTTATTTTTCAGATTTATCAGCAAAATTATATTTTATAGTGCCTTTTATTTCTTTTCTTTAAGAATTCATTAACATCTTAGTAGGTGCTATGTTCAACCATGACATTATAATAATCAAAATGGTGCTATAATGACACTATGAAACTTGAGAAACTCAATTTATCCATTGCCAACCCTCCTGTAGGATTTCACAGGCAGTTAACCACACGAATGAAGGATATTTCCATCTGTTTTTTACCAAATCAGTACTTTTTCTGTATTTTCCAGGTTGTAACAGATTTATTTTTTTAATGATTCTATTCTAAATAATTTTAAATTTTATTTTCTACTTTGGTGTATACACATTGCAGTAATTTCTGAAATATATGTGTTTCTTCCATGAAAAGAACTCTTGCTCTATTGACAAGTATTTGTTTCAAAACATTTTTTCCAAGGAAAAATAAGTCAAATTAATTCAAGTAAAAATTTAAAGTCTTCAATTAGATAGTTTAATTGTTTCACTGAAAATGGAAACTCCCATGTTGTTTTTTAAATAACATTGATAATGATGATTGAAGGATAATTTAAATACAGAACTACTGAGTCTCAGTCAAATATATATGCTACATAAATACTATAGTAATGTATAAAAATATTTATTTATGTCAGAAAGTTCCTTTCTTCCACTTGTGAGTCAATATTCAACCCTTCACAAAAAAATTTAACTTCCTATCAATAGAATCTAGAAATATGTATTTGTTTCTTGCTTCGTCTTCCCCAGATAATATTTTGTTAGATTCATCCACATTTTTTTACTATTATTAACTTGCATTTTTTATTTTATTCTTTTTATTGTTATATTATTGCACAAATGTAGTACTATGTTTTCCATTTCCAAGATAATGTTGGCTTTCAAGATAGATTGTAATTGAACATCAAGTAAACAAAATTTCTCCCAACTGTACCAGTTGGGATCTTTATGATGTGGAGGAAAGCCTGAAGTTGTCAAGGATTTAATTTATTTGACAGCACAATCGGTATCCAGTGTTGGCGCAACAGGCAAATGAGGTATTTCATTGGAAAACTCTTCTGTCAACTACATCTTTAAAGTGGTCAAGAGCAATGACGTCAATTTAAAGACTAAGATGTGCCTGATTCAAGCCATAGTATATTAAATGACTGCATAGTCTTGCGAAAATCAGAGAATGGAGAATGCTAAACAATTATTGGTGTCTATAAATTATAGTCTTTGTGAAGAATACTGAATATATCATGGGAAGCCAAAAGAATGAACAAATCTGTCTTGAAAGAAGTATAGCAAGAGTGCTTTTTTGAAACAAGGTGGTGAAGTTGTGTCTTACATACTCAAGCATTTCATCTGGGGGGAATCAGTCCCTAGATAAGGACATCATGCTTGGATAAATGGAAGATTAACAGAAGAGGAGATTATTAATGAGACCTTGATATAGAGAGAGCGACTGTGAGTTTAAGCACACTGGACATTGTGAAAATAGTGCAGGGTGTGGCAAAATGTCATTTAATCGTACACAGGGTCGCTATGAGTCAGACTCATCTCAATGGCACCTAACAACTAACTACATAAAAGGCTGCCAGGATTTTACTTAAAATTGCTTTAAATAAATGAAAAACAGTATTTGTTTTCTAGGTTTGCCATAAGAAATTTCTATAAACTTGGTGTCTTAAACAATTTTAATATCTCGATTAGTTAAGTTGGAAGTCTAATATGAATCGTGTTGTAGTTGTTGTTGTTATGTGCTATCTAGTTGTTTGTGATTCATAGCAACCCTATGTACAAGAGGCCTAAAGCCTGCTCTCTCCTGTGCCAACCTCACCGTCTCCAACACACAAACTTCCACCACCCCAATCACAGAATAAATCCATCTAATCGAGGGTCTTCCTCTCCTGTGCCATCGTTTTCCAAGGACCAGTCCCTCCTTGCAACCTACCCAAAGTATGTCAGACAAAGATTCAGAATCCTTAACTCCAAGGAGCAGTCCAGCTTCACCCTCTCCAGGACAAACCTGTTTGTTCTCCTAGCAGTCCATGGTATATTCAACACTCTTCTCCAACACCACAGCTCAAATGTATCAATTCTCTTTCTATCATCCCTAGTCACTGTCCAACTCTCCAACACATAGCACATAATTGCGAAGACTATAGCCTGGATCAGGCACACCTTAGTCTCCAGCCTGATGTTGTTGCTCTTCAGTACACTAGAGAGGTCCCTCACAGCTGACTTTCCCAATGCAATTTGTCTCTGTATTTCCTGGATGCTGGCCCCAAGATTGTAGACTGTGGAACCAAGTAAAATTAATTAGGCTTTAACGCTGTGCCCCATTGTTAGCAATTCTGCAGTCCTATTAGAAACTTCTGCATGGTTCTGCAGAAGAGAAATTATTTTATTCACACAAAAACAGAGTGCCTGTATTTAAAGGTTATACAATTAAACCTAGATATAAGAGAAGTGTGACCAAAATATGAGAGATAAATAATGAAAAGATGATTTTCTAGGAAATTTATATATAAATATAAATATATATATGAAAAATATGCATTTTAAAAATATTTTTCTTTGAAATATTATATTGCAATGCACTTCCAACAGGTAAATATAGTTAGGAAGACAATGCTGTTGTTTTGTACCATTGTGTTGGAAAACACCCATAGCGACCCTCCAGCAGGCTTTCAGAGGCAGTTAATAGCACAGGAGGAGACTGTCCATCCTTCTCCTACGGAGCAGATTTTTAAAGTGATCAAAGAACTTTGGAGGCAAAAGTTGACTTAAATCCGTCCTGTTTTCACTACAACCTGAGAAATTATCATGCCTTTAAGACATGAGACAGAAATAAAGGAAGGAAGGGAGATAAAAGACACAAAGGGAGTAACAGTGGAAGAAATGGAAAGATGAAAGTAAAAAAAAAAAAAAGGCAAAATTTAGAAAAAGTTTGCTTTTTGGTAACATTGACATAATTGCAGTTACCTAGAACTTTTGTATCTGTGAAAAATGTCAGAGTAATATGGCCTAGTGGTTTGGAAGCAGGAGTGGCATCCACTTCATAAATAGCATGCCTCTGGAAACTTTACAAACTTTGAGAAACAACTATAGTTATAGAAAGGCTTCAGGTCTTTTGTTCATAGGGTACTATGAGTTGTGCTTGACTCAATGGCAGTAAACAACAAGAACAACAGTGTTAAGAAGCTGTGCTGCAATCCGAAAGGCATGTAGTTCAAATCCACCAGTTGCTCTGCAGGAGAAGGATGGTCTCCTCTCATTCGAGTATACTGCCTTTGAAAACCTGCCAGAAGGTCAGCTATTGGCTGATTCTGACTTGATGGTACACAACATTTTTTTTTTTAGGTTTTAGAAAATGTACTATCTTTGGCTACGCTCATCACTATCTTGTCTTTAGATCATTCTCATTTCCTTTACCCCCTCCCTCAACCCACCCTGTAGAATCCTGTGATTTCACCCCTACTCATCCACAACTCTCTGTTCCCACTTCTTGCCCCCCCCTTCAGTCCTCAGACATATTTTACTAGTTATCCTTCTATTTTTACAATAATGATCTGATGCAGTATTTGTCCTTATGAGACTGAGTTAGTCCACACAGCATAATGCTTTCCATTTTCTCCCAAATTATGCAGTATTTTTTTTTAATTGTTACTCCTGAGGGTTGCATTGTGTGAATGTACCACAATTTTTCAGTCCATTTAGTTGTGGTCAGACATTTGCGCTCCATTTCTGTTTCAATTCTAATTTTGTTGGGATAATATTCCTAGTAGTGGAACAGCTGGGTCATATGGAGTTTCCATATTCAACTTTTTGAGGAAACTCCAAACCAATCTCCAGAGTGGTTATACCATTTTATAATCCCACCAGCAGTCTATGACAGTTGCCACCTCTGCACATCCTCTCCAACATTTATTGCTTGCTGCCCTGTTAAACTTTGCCACTGCTATCGGGATGAGAGGGTATCACATTGTGGTTTTGATTTGTATTCCTCTTAGAGCCAGTGATTTTTGAGCATTTTTTCATGTGTCTGTTGGCCACCTGGATGGCTTCCTTTGCGAAAAGTCTTTCCATATCTTTTGCCCATTTTGTAACTGAGGTATCAGTATTTTTCTTGTGAACGCCCTGTAGTATTCTGTAAACTTTGTTATGGGACCCTTGTCTGAGATAGTATTGCCAAGTGTTTGTTCCTTGTTGGTAGGTTTTTTATCACAGAAAAGAAAAAAGTATTTTATGAGCACAGTGATTTAATCTTTAGAAAGTCCCATTCATCAGTTTTATCCTCTCCCGACTGTGCATTTCTGGCTGTATTTGTCAGCTTTTTATACCATGGACTAGGTTGTCGAAGCTTGTATGGTTTTGAATTTTACTTTTAGGTCTCTGATCACCTTAAGTTAATTTTTGTGTATGCTATGAGATGTGGATTCTGTTTCACCTTTCCAGAGGTAGCAGTCCAGTTTTGCCAGCACCATTTGTTGAAAAGGATGTCATTTCCTCATTTCATAGAGTATTTTTGGTTTTGTGTCTATTCCATTATATAAAATGGTATAGTTTTTTAAATTATTTTATTATTATTTCATACAGGTTTACTTACA